GTGCAGGAAAGTAGTGATTGCGGCACAGCACAGTTGAGAATGCCGCGGGTGGGAGTAGGCTCCACCGAGAAGGCAAATGCCAGCCAGTACTGGCCGGAGTGTGCGCTCACTCTCCAGCTGGCAGGTGGCAGGAAGTACACTTTGCGGGGCGGAAGAGGAAAACTGAAGCTGACACAGTTTCTATGCTTTAAAAAACCCTGTGGTTTGAGCATTATGTTCTGGGGAGACCAACTGATTGTGGAGCCACCGGGGTCTGGGCCCAGGAGCACAGGACCGGGACTGGCAGAGGGTTCGGTTCCATGGCGTCTCACCCTGGTGCAGACTGCTTTGACCCAGATGCCTCCTCCCTATGCTGCCTTCCCCAGATGCATAGAGCACATGGCCCTACTGTGGGACACCTGCCATCCACATCTCTGGGCACACTGATCTGGGAGTGCCAGGATTTAGGGACCACAATCCAGACCAGCCTACAGGTTAGAGGATTGGTGGGTGTCTCCAACTGAAGCTCCGTGTGTGTTTCCAGCTACACACGCCACACCCACAAACCTAAGATACTGAGTGAATCTGTGAACTTTGTGTTAGGGGTTTCCTGTTGCCAGGGAGGGGTGGAGCTCAGCCAGAAGACTGCCGTGAATGTTCTTGCCTGCTAGGACAGGCTCTGAGAAGGGACACCACCGAAAGGAACTCTTTAATAACAGGGACAGCCCCATAGTAGATGTCTGGGAAAGAGATGTCTCTGCTTCAAATAACTCCACAAAGAGTGATATTAGTCTTGTTAACACCTTCACTTCTGTTGTCTTTGATGTGATTTTCTTGTTTTCCCTCACTAATGGGTTTTTTGTGTGGTTTCTAATTTATGTTTTAAAATTCTTTAATTGGATTTTTCCTTCCTTTCTTTACTTCTCATTAGGTTACATACTCTTTTTTCTTTCTCTCTCCTGTCATATCTTCTCTTTCCTTCCTCCCTTTTACTTGTATTTTAGTTCAATGTTGCAATCATTAGGGCTTTTTGGGGGGCATGTCATATAGTAACATTTCCAATTTATTATTCTAAGAGGAATTGTATAGATCATTTTCATTATATTTGGTTTTTGTTCCAGTTTTCTTTCTTGTGAGCAGTTAGTCTTCCTTCCCAACGTGGTGCTGAGGGTTTAACCTGGCACTTTGAACACACTGAGTAAATTCTTTTGTTTGTTTGTTTTTGTTTTATTTCCGGTACTGGGAATCAAACTCATGACCTCGTGCTTGCCAGGTAGGTGCTGTGCCGCTGAGCTAAATCCCCAGCCCGCCTGAGTAGATGTTTTGATACTAATGTAAGACCATGGCCCAGGGCACATTATAGAGAAAGCGGCTTACTAAAAACATCATCACTTACAGAGGAAGAGTTATCTAGGATGAACAAATCTCAGCATAGAGAAAGAAATGTGAGAAAATAAGACAATAAGATAACTCCAAAAGTTTATAACTTCCCACTAACAGAATCCATAGTCACTACAGTGGGTGAAATGCTAGAACTATGGTCTATCACCCCATTTCCTTACCTCTTGTGAGGTGTGTGAGCAGCTGTTCAACCTGCAGTGTCAGTGGGAAGGGATTGCTGTGGAATCTTAATCCACAACTATCTTAGTCTCCTGACCCTCCACCATGTTTCTTATGCTGAAATCTATTTCATTTAACACGAATATAGCCATCACACTTCTCTTATGGTTATGGATTTCATGATTTTGTTGCAGATGTAAGTTCTAATAATGTGTGAATGAGGCATCGTGGCCCTCACCGGTGACACATGGAAACACAGCAAAGAACCCCACTCGCAAGTATGTTTACCGATCAGAGGTCACCCTATCTGACTCCCAGGACATCTAGGGGGAGGAAAATCAGTGCTGTGGTTGCATTTCTTATTTATCTGGGAGAGAAAGGTGCACTCATTAACATCACAAGATGTCACTAAACTCAATAGTGTGGAAGCAAAATGGCCATTAATTCTAAACTCCTGTGTAGCAAATGGAAGACAAAACAAGAATTTTCTACACAGTTGATACTCCCGGTTTAGACTCTTATGGTGGATACATTGTGTTAATTTGAGAAGTTCAGAAGTTTAACTAAGTGACTCAGCAGGGAGCCAGGGTCCTCACTTTGTAAACATCCTCATCCTGTGTAAGAGGAGAGGAGGGCAGGGAGATGGTGTGAGTGCTAAACCGCCCTGGGTGGGGACAGCCTGCTTATAATATAAGGGAGGAAAAGAGGCTTGCCCTTACCCCGTTTTTTGCCCTTGTTTTTGCTGTGTTCTACCACGTTGAACTGTTGCCCCTTGCCATGCCACCCTGCCTTGGAGCCATCTGGTTATGGACTGAAATCCCCACAAACTGTGAGCTAAATAAACCTTTCTCTCCTTAATTTGGGCTGTTGAGTATTTTGTTTCAGCAATGAGAGAAAAGTAACCAAGACAGAGTCCTTTATAGACTTTTTTTTAAAGGAATGAGACTTGAGAAGAATGACCATTCTTTACATCCTAGGCGTATACTGGGGTTGAAACTTATTTCAGACACAGAGGATCAAGTTGAAATGGGGAAGCTGCATATAGGGGAATAAAAGTCAAGATAACCAAGCATTTTCTATGTGTGAGATATACCGGAAAGTTCTCTTAAAATGTTGTCCCTTCATATCTCAAGGTGGGCAGCATTGTCATTTTACTCAGGCTACAGAGACATTGTTCCTGGAAAGAAAACACGATGGCTGATCTCGCAGTTAATGAGATGAAACGTGAAGAGAGGTGAAGAGAAGCCCCAGAAGAAGCCTGGACACTTGACCTTCTCCTGGGCAACCCAGATGGAGATGCTTGGGTTGTGCTGGCAGCAATATGGCACCAGGGCATGAGGAGAGAGGCTGGACTGAGAGTACCTTGGTGCCACACTGGTTTTCTGGGCGACATTCTTGTTGTGTTGCAGCAAGCTCCCCCCATGTGACTGACACAGAGAAGCACATTTCTCAAAGGAAGGATTCTCTCTCTCTCTCTCTCTCTCTCTCTCTCTCTCTCTCTCTCTCTCTCTCTCTCTCTCTCTTTCTCCTTCTGTACATTTTCTTAGGTAGAAAAAGTACTCATTATAGCTTAAATAGCATTTAGTGGATGTATAATAGCTCTTGTGTGCTACATAGTGCTTACTGATTTGTGTTATCCTTGTTTCCCCTACTTCTTTACAGTTCATAATTTTTCTGATTTCAAAATAAAAACAATAACTGTTCAAGTGATGACATGGAGCATCAACAACCATATGCATGCATACAGAAATATATTATCAGTTTTATGAGTTTTTGCTCCTGAAATATCTTGTCATATTTTCTCCTTCCTGACCCACTCTGGCAGGATCACAGAACTACTCTATCAGGTTCTCTTGTTATCAGAAAATTTCACTGCTTGTTTCTCCAGTCTGAGACCAAACATGAGGTTCCTTTGGTTTGAGCTCTTTGCTCCAATTGTCTGGCCAGTCTATCTCCTTTCCCGTCTATCTTTTCTCCCCCTAAACACACACACATTCACACAAACAATTTCTCTTATTTCTTTGCTTTTTCAGACATTTGACATTTATGGACACTTACTGGGTATAACCTCAAAGTATATAAGATATTCTTTTTGGCTTCAAGGATTTAACAATAACAAAATCTTCCTATAACCCAGCTTTCCTCTCCCAGCCAGATCCAATTTGAATTTTCCCTGGAAGAATTGAAGCTAGATCAAGTTAATCTCATAGGCAATACCAATGACCAATGACACTTTTTAGAAGTCAAGAATTTATACTCAAACTCCGAAACAGTACACACTAATCACATTGATTTGACTAGGGGATACGTACAAATAGAACTCAATAACCCTTTTGCCATCTTCATCATTGAAGACCTAAATTTGAGCTATGACTAAAAAGGTATCATGTGAAAGCAGATATTTTGATTACAGATTCCTGGATAATAGATTTGGGGTATAAAAATGCAGGGTACCATTGATAGGGGGATCTGCACACGACAAGGATGTGGATGACCCAGAATCAACTCCCACTTCTAATGCAGAGCTGGTTTGCAGCTTAGTTTCCAAATTTCAAGGGGGGAGATTGACCCTGAAGAGTTGTAAATTTCATTTGATCCATTGGCGTGTGTGTTATGGCTCCACACTCACCAAAGATTTAGTTGACTTTTTCTGTGATGGAGAGAAATCTACAGATGATGATAAACTACTCAGCAAAGAGGAGAGCACTTTTAGGCCAATTTCTATGTCCAGAGAAGCTGTAATATTATCATCTTTATTAAACATTCCATGGGAAAAGCCTGGAGATCAAATAACTCATGGCATAAGATATGTTTAGAAGCAGACTGTGCCTTTTGCCTTTGGACTCAGAAAGCTTGAGAAAAAGCAGATATGATTTGGAACCAATCCCAAGATACAAAATGAGGACCTTAGCAAAAAAAAATCTTTATTTTTTAATGAAAGAACAGTTTTGGAATAACATGTCCTCTAGAGAAGAACTGTAGGGAGCAGCTGAAGCTGGAAATCAGTAACACGTGTGAGGGCAAGACAGCACCAAGGTGCCAAAAACAACCAAGCTACCTCAGTCCTGAGAGAAACAATATAAAATAAAATGTAAAAGTCAAATCTGATGCGTGTGTACTTAATACTCTGCACATATAAGGACTGACTATGCTGTCCTGTGGTAGTTTTCATGGAAAGAGTGAGAAAGAAAATGTGGGGAATCCATGCATCTCAACTTCTTGAAGGAAAATGAAGTTGTTTCTCTAACCATAGGTTTGAAAAAGTCATACAAAAGGGAAGTATATTGTATTAGACAGGAATTAGGAATATGTAACCTACATTAAGGGCTCCTTTTATTCATTTCAGTAATATCTCTTTGTTGATTGCTGCCAAAGCCAATTTAATGTCCTTATTTGAAGAGCTGAAGATGAATGAGAAATATTCAAGCACAGCTGACCATTATACACATGATTTACTTCTTCAAATTTAATATATTGATAAAGACCTAGTAGAATGGGTTGGTGAGTTTCTGCAGAAAATGGAACATGGTGTTGCACTTTTAAACTCACACAGGAACACACAAATCTGGAGTTCCTGCATAAAGTCAGTATAGATCTAGAACACTAGCTCTTCATATGGTGGTGACTGAAAATGTCCTTCAGGTGGTGCGGGACAGGCAATTTCCTCCATGGGAATGTTTGATTGCAGAATTAACACAGCCTGTAACATAAATCACAACACCATAAGTTGTTTACCCAAATAATCTCAAGGTTCCCTTTCCTGCCCAACTAACATCGACAGTACTAGGACTCACTCTGTCATCTCAGTTCAATCTCAAGTGTTGGACTCTCTGGCATTCTTTTTTATTTTAAAAATTAAAAAAAACTAACAAAACAACAATGAAGACAAAATCAAAACAACACAAAAACAGCAAAAATGATACATGACCTCAAAACAAAATGATAGGAATTAACAATGGTTGCTGCATTACATACTATCTTCAGCCAAGTTGCTCAGTCCAGCAGACATAAGAATGTAAGACAGTAAGAAGTAATAAAAAACAACATTGGAAATGATGCAGAGCTTCACCATACAAGATGGTAAGAGTTCAACAATGGTTGTTATACTTCATATTGTTGTTTCCAGATCAGTCATTCTGATTACTAGATTCAAGCGTGCAAAACTAGTCAAGAAAAAAGAATATTTTAAGCATTGACTGTTCCTTTCAATGAGCCACAGACATCAGCAACACACCTATTCCAGCTATCCTTAGGCATACTTTACATCATGCCAGATCAAGGGCATTCAGCCAGTGTTGGATCATAGCCTGAGATGCTGATGACTACTGCTGAGTCTTAACCTGGACCAGTATCACATGTAAGTGATAGCGTCTGATGAGCAGGGTAATCATGGAGTTATGGAAAGTATGGAGTCCTCCTCAGAATTAGCTACTAATGCTGATGACAACAGCATCTCCAAGTCATAGTTTATTGTAGAAATGAATATTTCAGTGCAAGAGCCATGCTGGCCCAGAAGGGGAGAAATTTTCATGAAACTGAGGAAAATTCTGGTGCTTCTTCCACAACTCAGTGTGATGTTGAGTTGACTGGGACAGTGGGGGAAACAGAACAACATAGAAGCTTAGGCATCATACACCCAAGATCACCACTCTTCTCAAATCACACAGGAGAATAGTGGGAGAAACACTTCTCAGCCCTGCAGCTGCTCTAGAGTAGACAGGATCAGAGACTCAAACACCAAGATTTGAAGTTGACTAAGGAATTTGTCTCATTCTCAAAAGCTTCTCCCATAGACAGTAAAGTACTTCATTTGCAAAATTACACGAGCATAGGTAACTTTTGGGAAAGTTGCACTTCTAAAGCATTAGTAACGCAAAAACCTACATTGGAGTAACGTGAGTTAGTCCACCCCTGGTGAAAGCATTTGAAGGTGTGCAATATGGTGCTGCCTAGAAGCCACAAAGAAAGCAAATAGACACAGAGAGATGTAAACAAGCACCAACAGTCTCATCGTATGATTGCCAGGTTATTGTCTGGCTGGGAATTTTGTCTGCCTCTGGGTCTCTAGGTGATGAAGGGAATAAGTAGCTGTTGGGGTTTTATCAAGCCCTCCCACATTCTGGAATACGTTATGGCTGCGGTCTAAAATATGCCCCCAGAGTCTCCTGTGTTCAGAAGGGCAGCTCTTGGTGGTGATGGCATCACGGAGGCATGTACTCACCACTGATAGTTCCTAGTGGAATGTGCTATTCGTTGGCAGGCAGATCAGAGGAGCTGGTTCCTTGGCGGTGTACCTTTGGAGGCTACATGTACTGCTCTGGCTATTCTTTGTCTCCCCACTTCCTGGCCGGCTGGCTGGCTGGAACAGCTTTCCTCTGCCACACCCTTGTGCTATGCCATTTCTACCTTGAAGCCAGCTATCCATGGACTGAACCTTCTGAAATTATGATCCTAATAAACTCCTTCTCCTTTATGTTGCAAGAGTCAAGTCAGGTATATTGTCCTAGAAGCAGAAAAACTGACCAATATAAACCCTTCATACTTGGAAGAACCACTGCCCTGTTGTTCCCAAATCTAATGTTCAGATTCCTTGTGTGGACTTAGTACATGAACACAACACACATTAATTCCGTATTTCATTCCTTTTCTTTCTCCTTTGTCTCTTAATCCTATGCCCATTTGAGAAAAGAATAGCTTGCTACTTCCTATTACCTATCTTTTTATTTTGCTTATTACACCATGAAATATTTAAACGTGTGTTTAATTTATTTCATTTCCATTATGGTCTTCAGGTTTATCTATTTTCCTACAAACCACTCAGTTTATCTTTATGACAGAGTAGTGCTTATTATATATAAATACCACATTTTCTTTTGCATTTTGCTGCCGATGGACATACAGGCTGCTTTCAAGATGTAGCTTTTATGAGTTTTGCTGTTATAAACATGCAACTTAATGTCTTTAACTCTTACAGGAAGACACCTAGAAAGGGAATAGCTGGGTCAAATGTAATTTCTAGTTTTAGTCTTTGAGGAATCTCCACTCAGATTTCCATAGTTGTTGTTCTAGTTTACACCCCCAAGAACAATGTGTAAGGGTTCCTTTCACTGTACAACTTCACCAGCATTTGTTATTATTTGATTTTCGATGGTAGTCATTCTTTTTGGGCTAAGATGGAATCACAGGGTTGTTTTAATTTGTATTTCTCTGAGGGCAAGTGCTGTTGCATATTTTTCATATATTTATGGGCCATTTGTACTTCTTATGTGAAATGCCTATTCATTTGACTTTTCCATTTTTTGATTTGGTCTTTTATTTTGGGGGCTTAATTTTTAATTTCTTGATATATTCTAGATATTAGTCTCTGTCTATGGAATAACTGGCAAATCTTTCCCCTGTTCTGTTGGCTTTCTCTACTGTTCTGTTGGTTGTTTTTTTTGCTTCACAGAAGCTTTTCAATTTGATGAGTCTGTGTGTTGATTTTTCCATACTGTTTCCTGTGCAAGTAGAGTTCTGTCCAGAATGTCCTTGCCTTCACCTATGACTATGAGAATTTTACCTATTTTATCTAACAGCAGGTTAAGCGTTTGTGTTTTAACATTTAGTTATTCAATCCACTTCAATTCTAGTTTACTAGATAGTGAAAGATATGGGTCTAGATCCAGTCCTCTGCATGTGGATAGCCAGTTTTCCCAACACCATTTATTAAAGGGGCTATGTTTCCTTCAGTGTAAGTTTTTGGCCTTTTTGTTAAACACAACATCAAGACGTTTAAGTTACTGAGGGTTATTTCTGCATCCTCCGTCCTGTTCTACTGATTCTTGTGTCTGTTTTTTGTGTCTTTACCATGCTGTTAAAAAGATCACTGTAGCCTTGTATTGTAACTTTAAGTCTAAGATTGTGATGCCTCCTCCTTTGCTCTTTTTACTGAGGATAGCTTTTGCTGTTCTAGCTTTCTTCCGGTTCTATAGGAATTTTAGGATTTTCTGTATTTCTCTGAAGAATGTTATTGGTTTTTTGATGGCTATTGCATTAAACATATATGTCAGTTTTTGAAGTATAGCCATGTTGAGTATATTGTTTCTGCTTGTACAGGAATAGGGGATATCTTCCCATTTTCTGAGGTCTCTTTGGTTTCCTTTTTCAGAGGACTGTACTTCTCTTCGTAGAGGTCTTTCACTTCCTTAGGTAGATTAATTCCTAAGTATACAATTTTTCTTGATGTCATTGTAAATGGTATTTTCCCCTAATTTCATTCTCAGTTGTTCACTATTAGTGCACATGACTGCTAATGATTTTCATTTGATTTTGTGTTCTGCTACATTACTAAATTTAGTTATTAATTCTGAGTCATTTGGTGGATTTTTTGGGTTTTCTATATAGGGTATCATATCATCTGTAGATAATGATAATTTGATATGATAACTATAATGATACTTTTCCTTTCTTATGCATATTCCTTTTATTTCTCTTTCATTCTTAATTATTTTTGCTAATATTTTGAGCACAATGATGAGCAGGATTGGTGATAGTAGATGTGGATCAACTACAGGTTAACTTGCAACACCCAGCTGAGCTGAATTAGGTGGTTCTGGATGGAAGGCCCACCTAAGGATTATTACCAGCAGCATAAAAGGAGAAGTGGAGGGGAAGATGATACACTGTTGGTTCTCCTGGTGAAGCTTGTCACACTGGCTTTCCTGATATGAACATGGCTGTTTTCATCATCAGAGGAGCTTGGATTCTTGCTGTCACTGAGGATGGCTGCAGTTCTCTTCGTGGGAGCTCTGGTTTTATCTTGAGCATAACTTTCTGGATCCTGGGCAGATTCCTCAGTCTGCTGGCACAGATCCTTCATCCTGCTGGCACAGACTCTCTAGCTTCCACCACTGACCTTGGGGCCTTCCCAATGTGAATCCTGAATACAGACTTACATGAGACACTGTTGTGGGCTCTAGGCCTCCAGCTGAACTTGTGGTGGACATCACCATGGATTCTAGCTTTTTAGCTGGACTCATGCAGGACATTGCTGTGGGATCTGTGCCTTCAGCTGGATTCTTTGGGTCTCTAGGGCATGGACAGATCCTTGCACTCTTCCTCATTTTTTTTGGTGAACATTATAAAATTATGTTATAAATTATGTGTCCTATATTAAATCTATTCCCTTGTCAACCCTGACTACAGCATCAGATGTTCCTGCCTTGTTCCTCATTTTATAGGGAAAGCTTTCAGCTTTCACCTTTTAATATGATGTTGGTAGAAGATTTGTCCCAAATGGCTTTTATTGGACTGAAATAAGGTCCTTCTATAGCTATTGTCTTTTGTATTTTTTTTTCATGAACATATGTTAGATTTTGCTGAAGGCTTTCTCTACATCTACTGAGATGATCATGTGATTTCTGTCCTTGCTTCTTTTTATGTGATGTAGTACACTTCTTGATTGGTGTGTATTGAACCATTCTTGCATTTCTTGGATGAAGCCTACTTGGCCATGATATATGATCCTTTTGTGACTTGTTGTATTCTACTTGCGAGTACCTTCTTGAGGATTTTGGTATGTATATTTGTTACAGAGATTGATCTGTATTTCTCTTTTGCTGTTGAATTTTATCTGGCTTTGGAATCGGAGTAACAGTACCTTTAAGGACACATTTAGGAGGACTCATCTCCTTTAAATTTTATTAAAGAATCTGATGATAATTGGTGTTAGATCTTCCCTGAATTATTTGTAGAATTTGGTCATGAATCCATCATTCCTCAGTGTTTCCTCCTGTTTTGATTTCATTGCCTGCTGTTAGACTGTTCAACATTTTAAAATATTCTTGGCTCAGTTTTGCTAATTCATATGTATCTACGAATCTATTCATTTCTTCTAAATTCTCCCGTTTATTGGCATACATGTTTTCAAAGTAGTTACTAATAATCTCATTGATCTGCGCACTGTCTGCTGTGTTTGCATCTTTTTCATTGCTCATTGGATTGATTTGGGTCTTTTCTTTCCTTTTTTTGATTAGATCAGGTAATGTTTTGTCAATTTTGTTTATTACTTTGAAGAACTAACTCTTTGATTTTTTTGTATTTCTTCCTTTTGGAGGGTTCTTAATTTCACTGATTTGTGTTCTGATCTTTATAATTTTTTTCACTTTATTAGCATTGAGTGCAGATTATTCTTGCTTTTTAAGGACCTTGATGTGCACTTATCTTATAACAAGTATTTTGTACTGGTGTTATTGTTTAGTTCTAGCAAGGTCTTATTTATTCTATAACCAACATTTTATTTTACAATGCATTGATTGGTTTTCATGCCTTTAGATAATTTCTTTGTTATTGATTTCTAGTTTCATTGTGCCATGATCTGATAGTATGCAAGGTACAATTTTAATTCCTTTACATTTCCTTAAGCTTGCTTTACTGCCTCAAATGTGGTCCATTTTGAAGAAAGTTCTATATGATACTAAGCATAGTTTTTGCTCTTGTTGGATGGAGCACCCTGAAGATATCTACTAAGTCCATCTGTTAGGAGGATACACCTACTTCTCCCAGGACACACCTACCTCCGTTTACTTGGGATTGGAGGTTGCAATATATTCCTCCAGTACCTAGTTTTTTTCATCCCAGTCAGAAGTTACCATCCAAGCCAAGGCATGCCCTCACTCTCATTGGTAGGTGAGAAACATGATCATCTTTCTGGTATCAGCTAGATGTAGGTAGGCTGTAGACCAGGGGTTCAAGTGGGCTGTTAAGCCTTTTAATGTTGATAGTCATGGGGTCTAGTTGCTTTTTTCTCTCCTTGGGCATTGTCCTCACTGAGGATTAGGTTGAAATATTCTCTGTACTGCTGCTTTCAAAGCAGATGTACATTTTCATGAGTTCTGTGTCTGAAAGGGAATGGGTTCTGCCATATAAACATGAAAGTGGAGCAGAAAGTCCAGACTGGACCACAGCCCTTGCTAAGTCAGTGAGCATAGCCTAGTAAGACGCTGAGAGGAGAATCCAGCTAATCAATGCCTAGACTTCTGACACACAGGAAGTGTGAGATAATAAATGTGCATTTCAGGTAATTGCTGGTAGGACAATATAAAACTACTAGAGACATCTTTGAATGAATGTCAATACTCACCCTATCGGGGTTACAACAGGTTAGTTTGCATCCAAAGACAGAGAGAGACATTGCAATTGAGAATTCCAGCACACTTAAAATGAGCACCACACTTTCCAGACCCTAAAATACATAATCACAGAAAAGGAGTGGATGAATAAAGGTGACAGATCCCAACATTTAACACTAATTACAATGGTAAAGAATAAGAGTTTTGTCTGAGAGTCTGGATTCTGAATATGGCAAAAACTCTTGGCCAATTCTTGCCTTACAGAAGGTCCCCTATTTAGATAGCAATTAGACTCCTAAATAAAAAAGTGTTCAATTTTTCAATCGCTTCCAATTTCCTGAAGTAATTTCAGCAATTGCAGAATGGTGATTTTTGTTTTTGCAAGAGCTAGCTCTCTCCAGATTTGTGTCTGCCACAGTATCCCATAAAAAGAGGAAGAACTGACTCCCGGCCTCGTCATTCCC